GATCGCTGTGATAAATAACAAAAGAGGGGAACGTAGCTGGTGGGGGCGCAGTCTGTGCCGCTGGCAGGTAGAAGTAAATAGCCCTTCCTCAAACGGGCTGGGGAAGGGGCCGCCTCTACACGTGGGCATCTCAATTTTTCTTCTTCGTTGTCAGCAGATGAGTTGCTCAGAAATTAATTTCGTTGTAAATCTGCAGGAGAAGCTTGAACATGCACATTGAGGGAGCCCTTGGCAGTAAACTCAGAAGAGCCTTCCATGCAAAAATGTGCTGTGTAATTTAATATTCTTTCATATTTCCAAGAGATGGAATATATCTGGAAACTCCGTGGCAAAGTAGGATATATCTGTCCATTCTGAGCCTGCGGTATATGCTAAGCACGTCTGCGTTTATGTATGGCAGCTAGTGAAGTGTTTTCCATGTGCCTGCCTTCCTCAGAGAAGGTGCATGACAACTGAAAGATCATTTTTACCTGATCAAGACTAATCTAAGGTCTCCAGCTGATTGCTTTTTTTTTTTTTTTTTTGGTTCCTGGTTCCAACTAAAAGTACCATCGTCCTCAGTTTCGAACATCTCCAGTGAGTTGTCGATAGAGGAAACTAAAGCAAGGAAGCGAGGGCGAGCCCAGGAGCGGACAGGGCTCTTGGCAGGCCAGGAGCTGGCTGGGGGGGCGTTCATGGTGGGGCCTGGCCTGGCCTGGCCTGGCCTTGCTGTGCGCCCGCCGGCGACGAGCTGGTGGGGCCTGCCAGGAAGGTGTGGGAAGGGACCAGCGCTGCAGCTTACGGCGAAGCGTGCCAAGTTCCACCCCTACAAGAGGTGAGAGGAAAAGCATGCAAAGATTGAGGACTTCTCAGGTGCTTCTGGAGTAATGATATAGGGATAGGAAGCTCTCTTAAATCTATGTTCCTTGTTTCCCTGGCATGTTGTCCTGGGGGAGTTAAATTGGAAACCTTGAGTGTCCATAGCCTATGTGAAACCCACTCAGAAGAATGATACTGCAAACACCTGAGGATTGCAAGAAATGCTTAAGAGATATAAGCCTCTGGAAACACAGAGGATCACCAGGTTGATACCTTCACAACAGACCAGTGACCATAATAATGGGATGCAGGATCTGATTAAAAAGTGTCAACACTAACTAACACGTTTAATATTTTTTCCTTTTAAAAAAAAACAGTGGCCATTTATATTAGATCTGCTTTAGAGCTGATATTGCTAGGCATGGTATAACGGGGTAACAGTGTGCTCAAGACTGCAGTTATCAACTCTTATTTGTTGTCAGTAAAATTCAAAAATACATACTGTCAAAACTATATTTTTAAGGAATCTGAGAGTTTTATCTTACACTTCTTACATTAGGTAAGTTTCCCAAGTCAGGTGACTAACATAAGCAGTTCATTACATGTAGATTCATTATTTTTAATGCACTTATATTAATATAATAAATCAGAAACAAATCCTGGAAAACAATTCTGTTTATATATATATGTAATATTATATATACTATCATATAATATGTATGTGTAATGTATATATATTATATATAGTATGTTATGTATATATAATATTATATTTTTATATCTAGAAAACCTGTATGAATTGTCTGTGATTTAAAAAGAGAACATATAAATCAGCAAAAATGATACAAGAAATAGAGTTGCAGTGGCCTTCACTGAATGTTTTTATAACCCAAATATAAAGCAAGGAAGATGCTACGTGGACTTCTGGTTTGGGCAGAACTGAAGTAGCTTCAGTAGTATCGTGTTATAGCCATTTAGCCTGAAATCTGAACTTCCTGTTTTTTTAAGAATACAACTATACTTGAAAATAAACATTAAAAAGTGACATTTCATGTATATCATTAATATGACCTACAGCATCATAACATTTTCCTGTTATCTTGTAGTTACAGGTTTTTCACAGGAAATGACACCTGTTCTTTACCTAAATAGAACAGGTCATAAAATAGGGAGGAAGAATGAAGGATAATGGGGGGCTAGGCTCCTACAACTTGCTTTTAATCTAATTTAAGACTGAACAAAGTGCAGAGGTCTAGTGTGCGGTTCTAGATGCTTCTATTTTATGCTGAAGAGTATGATAAACTCTTGCATTCTAAGAAATAAGTACTCTGGAAATAACATGCAGTTAGATGTTGCAATTAAAGATTTCACTTAAGGCAAAAGTGCCAGCTGAAGTCTGCTCATTTAACTACAACTTTATTTCATCTTGAGCAAGTTGTTTATGAAGCGCTTCGCTGAAATACCCTTGATTGTGGACCAAGATCTCTGTCTCTTCCTGCAGACTTCAGATAAATAGTGAGGTTAGCAATTACTATGGAGTAATGTTCGAAGACTCCTCGCTCTCGGGATTTTGTATCTGGAGTAGAACACAGGAAAAGTCGTGAAGCACCTCAGCAGAAGGCTGGGTTTACATTAGATCTCTGTTCTCACAGATAGGATTAGTCAGCAGCATGAAAAACTTGACCACTGTGCCTCAATGTTGTTGGAGTCCTTAGCCATTAAATGCAGATGCAGTTCTACTGGTAGACTGCTCCATTACTGATACACTTTGCTTTGCCCTCTGACAGTAATTTGTGGTATCATCACAAAGCCCAACCTTGCTGGTTGGCTGGCTCCACCTGGCTCCACGGCAGGAGTATTTTGCCAGCATGCCAGTTGAAAACTGGCAGAGGGCTCTTAGGTTAGCCATTAGTTTAGATGCTGTCTCTCAGATATATATGTTGTTCTGAATAAGTCTCAGATAAATTATGATCGGGCCAAGTTGTTAGGAGAGGAGTAGGTACAAATTCTGTAATCATGGGATGATTAAGCAGTGCTCCATCTTTCCCCCGAAGAGAAGCAGCAGGATACATACTTCTGCACCATTTGAAATTCTAAGAGGCTAAAACAAAGCATGTGGTTCTGATATCAGACCCAATTAAGGGAGGTATGAATGACCACTTAACTGCCAATTAACTGGAATATATGCATGGAATTTCCAGAATGTGCAAACATAAAAGCTTCAGATAATCTGACTTGTGGTACTCTTAATCTGAATAGTCCAGAAACCTGCTTGCAGATATGTTTGCAGCCGCTAGTGTTTGATTTGTTGCCTTTGCTTATTTGACCTTCACCCTTCTAATTTCAGCATGCAGCAGAGCTCTGACTTGGGCTCTGCTTTTTTTTTGTTTTTTTTTACAGCCTGTAGCCAGATTCACATGATCCCTTGAGTTTTAATGGATGACTCTGTCTAATAATAAGACCCAATCCTTTTATCTTTACTCAGATTTTATTCGGTCCCTACCTGGACAAATTCCCATTGAAATCATGGGATTTAGTTGGATCCTTGGAATTTTTCATGTATTAATATATTTTAGATTATCATTGCAAGTGTAATTTATAAGCAGACTAAAACAAAGG